ATTTGCACATAATATACAGTACCTGTACATACAAAAAAAAAAAAATATATATATATATATATGTACCTTGTAATATACCTGCACACAAAATTGTCAATTTATATATGATTTTACAACAATCCCCGATTGTGCCGATTCTGACGTTAATTTTGGGTTTTAGGGAAAAACCAATGTACACCGCTGTGAAGGGAAAGCAGCTACACTAAACACAGCTAGTTTTTAATAATTTTATCTGATATCTTAACAAAATTGACAATAAAATTAGCTTAATATCATAGCCACAAGAGACGAGAGCTCACTCAGTAACACTGCAATCTCATGTGGTGATAATTCACACATTATATGCATTTCATAGCCACATGGGATATTTTAAATCTATACATGAACAGAGTTATAATATATAAAAAATCTGTAACATTATAGATTTAAAATGTCCCACGCAACTCATTACTTACTCAAAGATGTATTTATCAGTGTTTGTAAGTAATGTTAACCATGTAAAGTGACTATAACAAGTTTGATCTGCCAAAGATAAACGACAGAGACATAACGTTATAAATACAATAGCAGCAGCAGCATAACTTGATAACGGTTAGCAGTCATTCCTCTCACAGATCTCGAGACATTGAGTAACAGCAGCATTATTATCACTGCAAACATACAATAACATGTGTTATTGTAAGTTAGCAAACGCAGAAACAGTGCTGTCCTCGATGATAACGAGGCAGAAACGAGCTCGTGTATGCTGCATAAACAAACAGTGTAAAGTGTGTGTAACAGGTAAATAAGTGAGATACTGTGATCTGCTGAACTCTCCTCAGAACACTCGACGCTGACGGAGTGACCGCGCGCTGGTGGTGGGATCAACAAAAAACTATATTTAAACCGTCAGAACATCTATAAAACAACACGTTAAACAAAAACAAGGGTTACTACGGAGCCCCTAAAGGAACATGGTGGTGGAAAAAAAATCAGATTGAGTGAAAAAATTTATGAGGTGGGAGGAAAAAAATGTCAGATTTTTTGCGTTCCCTCGCAAAACGTTTACGTTCTCTCGCAAATGCAAATATCTTTTGCGAGGGAATGCAAAATTTCTCGAGGGAACGCAAAAGTTTTGCGAGAGAACGCAAAAAGAAATTTCCTCCACCCCGAATTTTTTTCCCACCACCTTGTCCCTTTAGGGGCTCCGTAGATATGACATAAACTCTTCTAGTTTTCTTCTAGGCTTTCGCTTCCGGCTTCGCTTCGAAGACTTAAAGTTCAGTCGTTCATCAGTGGGCCACTCCCAGCAAGAGGAACTAATATGTTTTCACGTTTGCTTGGGCTGAACACATGGCTACAAAGAATCTGCAGCTTAAAAGGAGTCAATTTCATCGATAACTTCAATCTTTTCTGGGGCCATAGACAACTGTTTAAACTGGATGGCCTCCACCTAAACAAACTTGGTGCAAGAGTGCTAAAGGACAACATCTACTTCTCCATCCGTCATCCTTCAGTAGTGTGTGCCAAACTACTCAACCTGAATGGCACACACACAGCTGGACAGAGTATGAGTGACCACAGGACTTCATATCAGCTCCTGAGTCATCATGTGGTTGACACATCCCACAAGGACACCGATAACACGCAGCCACAACAACAAGCCCTGCTTCATTGTGTATGAAATGTGCTATACAAATAAACTTGCCTTGCCTTCTACCATACATTTGTACTTTCTCTAACACGCATATTTTGGTTACACAGCTCATTTAAAAGCCTCTGGTGTGTAAAAGTAGTAAAGACCTTTCTCATAAGATACAAAAATAAACTTTCTAGTCCATAAGTAAATATATGTTTAAGCTTTAGGTTATCCACTCCCATCTTTCTAAGTTCATTCTTCATTGTTTCTCGTTCATTAGTATACTTTTGACAAACACAAAAAACATCCCAGCAAAAAGGGGACGTCCCCCGGACGTTTAGGTCCGCAGTACGTCCGCTTTGTAATAGGGCCTAGATCAAATAGAATTAGGCAGATATGTAATCCCATACGGAAGTGGCAGTCGAAGACAACAGGAGGTAAATTTCTGTCCCGTCAAAATTGCTAACTTATCTGCCACTCTAATATCTCTCTGAAATGCAACTTAATCTGTTCTTTTTTTATATTAGAGGTGAAGCCAGTCTAATCTAACACTTGTGTGTGTGTGTGTGTGTTTCCCCCAAATTCATCGTTAATAGCCGCGGCGTGTATCGTTCATTGTGTGTGTTATTCATGAGTGTTAGTTACATTTATTTGCACGTGTTCAAACATGTATTTCCACATGTTATGTGTGTTAAGGCATTTCTCGTGTGTAATTGCGACGCACTTGCTCAGCCCATCGTCTCCGACTATTCTCCCAAATCCTTTTGGGAATAATGCGAAACGAATTAATTTCGCGATTTTTTTTCCAACTTGAAACACGAATTACTCTAGCTTTCACAAACTTTGACTGCAGTTTTGAACAGCTTGAGACAAATTTCGATTTAACTTTAGTTTCGTTTTGGTTGCATTCAGTGTTTCACGGGGAACCCGGATGGAAACGGAGTTCCGGGTTCGAAGTCGTTGTGAGTGTGAAATCTGAGTTGATACAATTAAATAAAAAAAATGTCCCTGCTGAAAGAAACAATAGAAACCATCACATAAATGCTAATGGTTTCCCCTACTAATACCATTACAAACATCATCAAACCATCAACTTTTAAAACCATTAAAAAATAGTTTCCTCTGTGTTTTGGGACATATTGTATTAAGTATGGAAGACCAAACCTGCAGAAATAATAAATAAATGTAATAACACGAAAATAAAGACAGAAATAAATGACCTGATAAAAACAAATATAGTAAAAATAAATAAATAAATCTGGAAATTAATACATGTGGGAATAAATATAAAAAAATAAAATAGATGCATGAATAAATACCTTTAAAAATAAATGAATTAATAAATACATAGCCTAAATAAAATAAATATAAACTTAAATGAAATAAGTAAATAATAAATTACAAATAAAGACAGAAAATACTACATACATGAAAATAGTAATACAATACATTCAGGATTAAGTTCTATTTCAAATGAACTATATTTGTGTTTATCATTTATTTATTTCTTTATTTATTTTCCTGTTATTTATTTTTAATTTCTGCAGGTTTGGTCCTCCATAATTAAAGTGGTTTTAACAAGCCACCAATAAAAGGTTAACAATTACCAGTAGAGACCTACAGTGACCATTACAGTTTCTATTAAAACCAAGATGATTCCCATTAGAACCAGTAAAACCATTACAGTTTCTATTAAAACCAAGATGATTCCCATTATAACCAGTAAAACCATTACAAACTCTTTGATGGTTTCTATTCCACCCCCCACCACCACCACCAGGGCAGACTATGCAGCTTTATTTATATTCATAATGTTTATTTTGTGTACCTACCTCCGTATGATGGATTTAGGTTAGTGACTTAAGTGAGTCTTTTGTTCACATCTGAAAATAGTGTAAAATATTAAATGTGAATTAAAATGTGAAATAATCGATATCATTTAAATGCATGATGTTAATGTGCTTAAACGTATGTCTTTTCCTTCAGGTTTGAAATGCCTGCAGCATGGCGTCTGCACAGCGATCTGCTACTGAATACCTCAGAAACAACTGGAAAGACCTGGTGACTGGCATGAAAAACCTTCCTCTGATCATTGAGAGTCTTTATCAGGAGGGGGCTTTCAATGTCTATGACGTCGATGCTCTCAAAGCTGAGAGGACAGAGTTTGATAAAGCCAGAAGTATATTGGATTGGGTTATTAACAAAGGTGATGAGGCCAGTTATAAATTACTCAAGATTCTGGATGTCACTAAGAAGACGACATTAGATCCTGGTTTACACCCCTGGATCAGCTATTTTCCCTTCAAAGAAGAAGACGCAGAGGCCAGCTATTCAATTGGTGAGTAGAGAAATAAAAGATAATTTTGGTGAAATTAACACATTTAAAATATTTCAATATATTTCTTTTATGCTTTTGTTGCTATTTTAGGTACAAAGCCCTGTAAAATCTACCAGACACAGCTCAAGATGAAAGCAAAAAGTATGTTGAAGAACCAAAGGAAATGTTTTTGTAAACATCTGGATGACAAGGTACAAGGAAACTTAAGTTTTATACCTCTTGTTTTAAAGACTGACTCTGTCATGAAAACGCAATGCAAAATAAATTTGAAAAACAAAAAATGCAAAAAGCTACGGCCCAAGAAGCTGAGGGCTTACATTCCTAACGAGGAACAAGCACTGTCACCTGAGGACCTCCTGAGATGGCAGGACAAGAGCATCCTCATCATCGGCAAACCTGGAGTAGGAAAGACTACAGTTGTCCAGGAAATGCTGCGACTTTGGGCAGAGAAGGATGACAGACAGATAGATTACATGTTTTACTTTGATGAAAGTGTTTTGGCCCACAGTTCTAGCACTGCCAGCTTGGAAGCTCTTTTGTTTGATGTGTATATAAAACCAATGGAAAAATACAGAAAAGATGTATTTACCTTCCATGGAATGTGCTGGTTTGATGTGTGTGTCTCCATCATGTAGGTGGGTCTGTTGTGAGACAGATCCTACAATGGTTACAGGGGTTGCTTTGTGAGTCCCGGTTGCATTTGGCTTAGTAACGAATATGCTGTGTACCCTATGTAGAAATAGGTTCGCATTTTGCAAAGTTTTTTTGTAATAAACCTAATGGAAATTCTTGCTGAAGCAAGACACAGAGCATAACAATACATTATGGCAACAAGATGTATAAAAAAATATTGTCAGAATTTTGAGTGATTTGATATGGTTTTGTAATTATTCAAATGCATTTTGTTTGTTTGACCACAAAATTATTGTTGAGAAGGGGCATCTTTGATTAACTTTGAAAAATCTGCATTTTAAGACTTACAGTATATCTGTGAGTTACCCTCTTAAATGCATGGCTGCAATTAGCATCCATATCAATAAAAAAATAAATCAAGTCAATCAGTACATGCTCTTATGTTTGATTTCTTTGTTGCAGGTTAAACACTTGTAAAGAACCGCTGAAGCAAATCAAATTCTTTGTAGAATTCTTGCATAAATCTTCTCAGTGCGACTGCAAACTTTTTGAGGTGAGAGGACAATACGACCCAGAAAAATGCAATGCTCTGCTGGATCTTTGCTCACATGTGAAGAACTATGAGACTCAAACAGGCAGGAGTTATCTTCCAGCATTACAGTCAGTTTTCCAGTTACCTGATGTCTGGATCATAGATCTCTCACAGAGAAAGAGCTCCGTCCTCCTGGAAGTGCTGAAGCTCCAGACAGAGAAGAAACCAGTAGTGCTGAGAGGATTATCAGAGGAAGAGAGAGAAGTGATGAGTTTCCTTCAGTGTCTGCCCTACATCTCAGAGCTGAGGTGAGAATATCTCTGGCAGCTTATAGTTATTGTGAAATATGATTTCTGCATAATCTGGAACATGTTTTCTGGTCTTAATGAGTCTCTTTAGATTAGGGGCTCTGTTTTGTTTCAGTGTTAGCTATAGAGTAATGCATTCTGACCATTCATTACATCTGATCTCATTTTTGTGTCAACGGCTAAATCTAAGCTCAGTTTTTGTGCAGGGTGAGATACAGCCATTACCACAAGAAGTAGGGGTGCTGCAGCACCCCCTGGAGTGTAGCCCACGAAAAAATGGAGGTGCTGGGGGTGCAGTGTTAAAAATGAATGAACGATTTGTAACAAAAAAATAAATATTTTTTTATTTTTATGAATTTGTATATTCATTAAAATTAATTGGAAAAAAAGTAGCCTACGCCTACAATGGCAAGAAGCAACAGTTAAACATGAGTCAAGTTGAAACAAATTGACTGAAATTCGTTTCAACTTATTAAACTGACTTAAAAAAATAATTTGTTGCCATGATTTTTTGATTATATTATAACCTAACATGTCTGTGCCGTACCCAAATTAAGAATTAACAACCATTTCTACAGACATAGCAAAGAGACAGCAGAGAAGGCCATTTACCCCAGCAGCAACAAATCTCGCATTCTCATATATGTAGTGCTTATTATGATCTTTAACGTTAGTGTAACAGATCGGCTCCACCACCACCCAATCACAACGATCCCTATCACCTGAGTACTGAGCACCTGCACCTGTCACCAATCAAGCACCTCATCACAGATGACTCCGTATTCCAGGATTTTATGCATGAGGTGCTCCGGGAGTTTCTTCCTCGATTCGTCATTGTCTACATAGATGATATCCTCATCTACTCCCGGAGCCAGGCTGAACATCGCCAGCAAATTGCGGAGGTCCTCCAACACCTGAGAGAACACCACCTATTCCTCAAGGTGGAAAAGGGCACTTTCCTCCAACTTACGGTGCAGTTCCTGGGGTATAACATTGATCGTACCGGTATCCAGATGGACGAGGGGAAGGTGGAAGCTATAACCTCCTGGCCAGAACCCACCACAATTAAGGAGCTCCAACGATTCCTTGGATTTGCCAAATTTTATCGTCGCTTCATTCTAAACCATAGCAAGATCACCAGCCCACTCACAAGCTTACTACGAGGTAAACCCAAATCTCTGTCCTGGACATTCGCGGCCTTAGAAGCTTTCTCCTCCCTCAAACACTTGTAAAGAACCGCTGAAGCAAATCAAATTCTTTGTAGAATTCTTGCATAAATCTTCTCAGTGCGACTGCAAACTTTTTGAGGTGAGAGGACAATACGACCCAGAAAAATGCAATGCTCTGCTGGATCTTTGCTCACATGTGAAGAACTATGAGACTCAAACAGGCAGGAGTTATCTTCCAGCATTACAGTCAGTTTTCCAGTTACCTGATGTCTGGATCATAGATCTCTCACAGAGAAAGAGCTCCGTCCTCCTGGAAGTGCTGAAGCTCCAGACAGAGAAGAAACCAGTAGTGCTGAGAGGATTATCAGAGGAAGAGAGAGAAGTGATGAGTTTCCTTCAGTGTCTGCCCTACATCTCAGAGCTGAGGTGAGAATATCTCTGGCAGCTTATAGTTATTGTGAAATATGATTTCTGCATAATCTGGAACATGTTTTCTGGTCTTAATGAGTCTCTTTAGATTAGGGGCTCTGTTTTGTTTCAGTGTTAGCTATAGAGTAATGCATTCTGACCATTCATTACATCTGATCTCATTTTTGTGTCAACGGCTAAATCTAAGCTCAGTTTTTGTGCAGGGTGAGATACAGCCATTACCACAAGAAGTAGGGGTGCTGCAGCACCCCCTGGAGTGTAGCCCACGAAAAAATGGAGGTGCTGGGGGTGCAGTGTTAAAAATGAATGAACGATTTGTAACAAAAAAATAAATATTTTTTTATTTTTATGAATTTGTATATTCATTAAAATTAATTGGAAAAAAAGTAGCCTACGCCTACAATGGCAAGAAGCAACAGTTAAACATGAGTCAAGTTGAAACAAATTGACTGAAATTCGTTTCAACTTATTAAACTGACTTAAAAAAATAATTTGTTGCCATGATTTTTTGATTATATTATAACCTAACATGTCTGTGCCGTACCCAAATTAAGAATTAACAACCATTTCTACAGACATAGCAAAGAGACAGCAGAGAAGGCCATTTACCCCAGCAGCAACAAATCTCGCATTCTCATATATGTAGTGCTTATTATGATCTTTAACGTTAGTGTAACAGATCGGCTCCACCACCACCCAATCACAACGATCCCTATCACCTGAGTACTGAGCACCTGCACCTGTCACCAATCAAGCACCTCATCACAGATGACTCCGTATTCCAGGATTTTATGCATGAGGTGCTCCGGGAGTTTCTTCCTCGATTCGTCATTGTCTACATAGATGATATCCTCATCTACTCCCGGAGCCAGGCTGAACATCGCCAGCAAATTGCGGAGGTCCTCCAACACCTGAGAGAACACCACCTATTCCTCAAGGTGGAAAAGGGCACTTTCCTCCAACTTACGGTGCAGTTCCTGGGGTATAACATTGATCGTACCGGTATCCAGATGGACGAGGGGAAGGTGGAAGCTATAACCTCCTGGCCAGAACCCACCACGATTAAAGAGCTCCAACGATTCCTGGGATTTGCCAATTTTTACCGTTGCTTCATTCTTGGCTACAGCAGGATCACCAGCCCCCTCACCAACTTACTCCGAGGGAAACCCAAGTCTCTGTCCTGGCCTCCCGCGGCCTTAGAAGCCTTCTCCTCTCTCAAGAGAGCCTTCACTAGCGCCCCACTCCTAGTCCATCCAGATCCCGATCTCCCATTCGTCGTGGAAGTCGACCCCTCCACTACAGGAGGGGGGGGGCAGTGTTGTCCCAGCAGAAGGGGAACCCAGCCAGACTCCATCCATGTGCCTTCTTCTCCAGGAAGCTCAGCCCGGCGGAAAGTAATTATGACATCGGCAACAGAGAACTACTTGCCATCAAGCTTGCCTTAGAGGAGTGGAGGCATTGGCTGGAGGGGGCAGCCCATCCATTCACCGTACTGACCGACCATAAGAATCTCCAGTATCTACGTGAGGCCAAATGTCTGAATCCTCACCAAGCACGATGGGCATTATTCTTTACCAGGTTTAACTTTAGCATTACTTATCGCCCTGGTCCCAGAAACGTCAAGGCAGACGCTTTGTCACGTATTCACAGTCATGTGGAAGGTCCAGAAGAACCGGAGAGTATCATCCCACCAAAGACGATCATCAGTCCCATTGAATGGAATTCCCCCTCAGTAGCCTCAAATACGACTCCCAACATTACCGCCGGGCTGTCCTCCAGGATGCCAGTATGTACCACGAACACAACGCACTCCACTGATTCACTCTTCTCGGGGCACTGGCCACCCAGGGGCCAACAACACCCTCTCGCAGCTACAAGATCGTTTCTGGTGGCCCAATATGGCAAGGGACATGAGAAGGTTAGTGCAAGGATGTCCAGACTGTGCCATGTCCAAAAGCCCGCGCCACTTACCATCTGGCAAGCTTCTTCCTCTACCAGTGCCAAATCGCCCCTGGTCACACCTAGGAGTGGACTTTGTCACTGACCTGCCATCCTCTGAAGGTAACGCATGCATCCTGGTAATAGTTGATCGTTTCTCAAAGTCATGTCGCCTTCTGCCCCTCCGAGGTCTCCCCACTGCACTGGAAACTGCTGAGCTTCTCTTCAACAAGGTTTTCCAATACTATGGCATTCCCGAAGACATCGTCTCAGACCGAGGACCTCAGTTCATCTCGAAAGTATGGAATGCATTCTTCAAACTCCTAGGTGTGACCGTAAGCCTCTCGTCCGGATATCATCCACAGTCAAATGGTCAAACAGAGAGGAAGATTTAGGAGGTGGGGCGATTCCTGCGAACCTTCTGCCATGGCAACCAGGATTCCTGAAACCAGTTCCTGGGCTGGGCCGAGTATGCCCAAAATTCCCTGCGACAGCCTTCTACTGGTCTTACTCACTTCCAGTGCGTGCTCGGGTTCCAGCCTCCACTGTTCCCCTGGTCCGGGCAACCTTGTGATGTTCCGGCGGTGGACTATTGGTTCCAGGGAAAGCGAGAGGGTCTGGGACACTGTTCACTACCATCTCCAATGGGCAGTGCGCAGGCAGAAGATGGTCGCGGACCTTCGAAGAGCTGAAACACCTACCTATCAACCAGGCCAGAAGGTATGGCTGTCAACTCGGGACATCAAACTGCGCCTGCCCTGTAGAAAGCTCAGTCCCAGATTTGTTGGTCCCTTCACCATCCTGGAACAAGTAAACCCGGTCACCTACAAACTCCAACTCCCCTCACAGTACAGAATTCATCCCACGTTCCACGTATCCCTATTAAAGCCTCACCATGAACCTGTCTCTCTCCCCACAGAGCCTGGCCAGACAGAGGAACCCCCTCTTCCCTTGATCCTGGATGAGGGGTCAGTCTACAAAGTGAAGGAAATTCTGCAGTCCCGGCGCCGTGGTGGTCAGCTGGAATACCTCGTAGCCTGGGAAGGATATGGACCCGAGGAATGCTCATGGGTACCGAGGATCGATATATTGGACCCCGCCTTAATGTCTGAGTTCCATGCTGCCCATCCTGATCAGCCGGCACCTCGGGGCAGAGGTAGACCACCATGACGTCGGGGTTTTCGGCCCTCAGGAGCGGGCCGTGGGGGGGTACTGTAACAGATCGGCCAGGCTCCACCACCACCCAATCACAACGATCCCTATCACCTGAGTACTGAGCACCTGCACCTGTCGCCAATCAAGCACCTCATCACCAGCCTGCGTAAAAGCACACACCTCAGACACCCTCATTGTCCGGTCTCGTACACACGTAGAGGACTCTCTGACTTTACTACTGTTCCTATTTGAATACTTCCTGCATTACTTACCTCCTGTGTTCCTCCTAGTGTTTCCTCGTCTCCAAGTGTCTCCTGTTCCTCCTAGTTCCTGGATCGCTGAGGTGTGTGCTCCTCCGTGAGCATTCCAGCCCCTGTAAAGGAAAGGACTCTGATCATTCAACTCATCATATCCTTTAATCCGTTCTACGAATTATACACTCCCCGTGTCATCACCTGGATCCTACACCCGAACTCTCTGTGACCATAAATAAACTATATTGTTATACTAACCTGTTGCGTCAGACCGCTTCTGTTATAGTTAGTCCTTTCCTAATCTTTAAACAAAATTAATTCTTATGGTTGATTCAATATTACTCTTAATGAAAAACACAACATCAGCAATGCTACTATGACAAAGTCGCTTATTAAACATAAAACTTTTATGAACAGAACGAATAAGACTGTGTACCTGCGTTGCAACACAAATAAATGAAAGGTTTTGGATTTTCCCCTTACTTCAAACGAATGCTAATGGCTCATTATTATTAATGCAAAAAAAAAAAACATAGGCTATACAATAAAATAGTACAATGACAAATTCACATATATTAAACTTTGAACTTTTATTAACAAAATGAATAAAGATATTAATTTAGCACACAAATAAATATGGATTTCCCCTTAGGCTAAAACGATTGTAGTTTGTGGTTTATTATCTTATTAAAACACATCAGCAATAAAGTGTTACAATGGCAAATTTGCATATATTAAACATCTAACTTTTATTAACAAAATTAATAAGATGGATATAGCCTTGCGTTGTAACCCAAATAGCCTAAATAAGGTATTTTCCATTATTTAAAACGAATGCTTAGTTTGTGGTTCATTGTTATTTTTTTTTATGAAAACCCAGCAACAATAAAGATGCTCACTTATATTAAACAAAGAAATGAAAGTTTTATTAACAAAAGTTGCGCTTTTGAATCCGCTATCATAGTGTCAGTCTTCTCGCATCACTCTTGTCACGTGACTACAACCTCCCTCCGTTTTATTTCTCAATGCCCCCCCCCCCCCCCC